TCTCTCTCTCTCTCCCTCTCTCTCTCTCTTGCTCTCTCCCTTGCTCTCTCTTGCTCTCTCTTGTTCTTTCTCTAGCTTGCTCTCTTGCTTGCTCTCACTTCCTCTCTCTCTCTCTGCCCCCCTCTCTCTCTCACTCTCTTCTTCTCTCTCTCTCTCCCTCTCTCTCTCTCCCTCCCTCTCTCTTGCAGTCTCTTGCACTTTCTTGCTCTCTCTCTCTCTCTTGCACTCCCTTGCCCTTTCTTGCTTTCTCTCTCTCTATCTCTCTCTACCCCTTTCTCTCTCTCTCTCTCCCCCTCTCTCTCCCTCTCTCTATCTCTCTCTCTCTATCTCTCTCTTGCTCTCTCCATTTCTCTCTCTTGCTCTTTCTTGTTCTTTCTCTAACTTGCTCTCTCTCTCTCTTTGTCCCTCTCTCTCTTGCACTCCCTTGCTCTTTCTTTCTCTCTCTCTCTCTCTGTCTCTCTCCCTCTCTCTCTCTCTCTCCCTCACTCTCTTGCACTCCCTTGCTCTCTCTCTCTCTCTCTTTTTCTCTCTCTATCTGTGTCTCTCTCTCCCTCTCTCTTTCTCTTGCCCTCCCTTGTTTTTTCTTGGTCTCTCTCTCTCTATCTCTCTCTCTCTCTCACTCACTCTATCCCTCTCTCTGTCTCTCTCCCTCTCTCTCTCTCCCCTCTCTTTCTCTTGCAATCCCTTGCTCTTTCTTGCTCTCTCTCACTCTCTCTCTCTCTCTCCATCTCTCTCTTTCTCCCTCCCTTTCTCTCTCTTGCTCACTCTTTTTTATTCTCTAGCTTGCTCTCACTCACTCCCTTCCTCTCTCTCTCTCTCTCTCTCTCTCTCTCTCTCTCTCTCCCTCCCTCCCTCCCTCTCTCCTCTCTCTCCTAGGGCGTGCGCATTCTCGCTCGGGGGTTCCCTTGTTGCGGCGAGATCTGGTTGCTGCAGTCCTTTCGTTGTTGGGGTATGGTGGGGGGGGGCCGCCGGTCACCCCCACGTCACTCTCTGCGGGGCGGGGGAGGAAAGGATTCGAATGGTGGGAGAAGCTCAGAGGGCAATGTCGGGAGATCTGATGGTAGTCAAGGAATGTCTGGGGGCGGGCCGTCTAGGCCTGGAGCGGTGGATGGTGAGGGGGTTGCTGGAGATAGGAGAACTCCTTTGAAAGGGCTCAATGGGGCTCTAGGGTCGGGAACCTCAAAGAAGCAGCTGGTGTACGAGAGATCACCCGTCAAGGCGGGTAGTGCGAAGGCCGATAGTGGGGACATTGCAGCGAGTGGTGCTGGTCTAACGGTAGCGGGGCTTCTGGAAGAAAATCGAAAAGATCTCTCGCTTGCGTTGGAGGTTCTCATTTGGAGTTTGTGGCATCATTTACTCGCTCGAGGGGCGCTGGGAGTGGAGCCGGTGTGGTTGATGTTGGGGTCGTCAATGTGGCTGTGGCGGACCATTGTGAAGGCACTCGAGGCCCTCCCGGTTCGGGGATGGGTATGAAGATTATGGGTGGTATGGAGGTGGAGGAATTTCTGGAAGATGTTCATAGGAGCACTCGACCGGAATCTCTAGTGGAATCGGAGGCCCCCATCGTCCAAGAGGAGCTCATGGAGGTTAAAGGGGAGGTTGCTGACCGAGAAGCTATGGTGGCTAGGAAGAGCGTTGACGGATTGAGGTGTGGGAGTGACACTGGACCTGCACCCCAGTTCATAAACCTGATATGCCTGTGTTCAAGTTTGGTAACCGGAGCCGAATTGCAGAGTTGGGCCTAGGACCGGATGGATGGACTGGTTGTGGAACCAGCTCGGTGAGGGGCTTCAGGTGAAGTCGACGGTGGAATTACAACCTGGTGGGAAATTGCCTATGGGGCACGGCTCTGCCTACAGCAGTCATACTGCTTGCCCACAAAGTGCTTGTGGTAATGCCACTGAGGTTTCGCTGTCTGATGGCCTGACGGGGAATTCGACTAAGACAGCTATGAATCTGAACCGAATGACCAAATCTACTGTGAATGCTTGGAAGAAGGTTGCGCCAATTGCCCTTAGGCTGAAGGATGATGTCAAGACCTTCATACGGGAGGATGGAATGGTGAATTTGGACCTGGATAAGGCTCGGAGGAATGTTCAAAAACTTGACCTAGCGCTGGTTGGCAGTCTGCTTGGGCAGCGGGTGCCATTCTGGGTCGTACAAAATGAATTACAACGGAAATGGGGACATCTTGGCTTGTCCCAAGTCACGCCTTTGGGAGCGGATTGCTTCCTTGGATGGTTTGAGGATGTTGATGCCAGAGATAATGTACTGCTGGGAGGGCCTTGGTATGTGGCTGGCCAGATTATTGGGGTGGAACAATGGACTGTTGGATCTCTTTCTAGACCGGTTAGGAAATTCTCTTCACCAGTTTGGATTCGCCTTCCTAATCTTCCACTGGAATATTGGGATGAGGCCAATCTTGTGAGGATGGCTGCTGGTGTGGGGTAACCGTTGTACATGGACGAACAAACCAAGAGGTGGGACCGCTGTGCCTTTGCTCGTGTTTGTGTCCGATTGGACCTCTCTAAGAAGTTGCCTAAATGAGTATGGGCGAATGGGTTAGGAGGAGCATTTTTCCAACCAGTTGAATACGAGGGCATCCCTCTGATTTGCCAGGCATGCGGGATGGTTGGTCATAAGGCAGAGGGTTGTAGGGAATCGGTTCCTCCAGCTACGGGGACTCATCCTGCACGGGGTCATGTGGTGGCTACTACCAATGGCCAATTGAAAGAAATGGAGGTGGACCAGGGAAATGACGCCAAGTGGCTACTTCGTCTGGCTCGGTTGGTGGAGATTCCACCACGAGGAATGTGGATCAGGGTGAATGGACTATCGTGAACAGAAGAAGGCGATCTAGACCGACCAAAACCAAAGCAAAACCCACTGATGTGAACAATGCTCAACTTAATTTGCCCAGGAAAGCACCTAATAGCACAACCTGGAAGGTTGTGGCAGATGGAAATGTCCCCAAGGGGAATCCGAGGATAGAGGGGAGTTTGACTGGTAAGGAATTTACCGTGACACCATGACAAGTTGGGACGTCGTATAGGGTGGAAGGCGTGGAACAGTGCAAACTATCGAATGGAGTGATTCAGCCTATGGTGGGAGAAAATATGAATGTGACCAAACAGCCGGGGAGTATGGATATGAGTATTGAACACACCAGCTTTCCCTCATCTAGGCTGGCGGGCGCTGGGGAATCGATTATTGGATTCCTGAAGTGGCTTTGCAAATGGAATTGGGCAGAAAGGAGGTGCTGATACCGCAAGAATTGAATATGGAGGAGATCAGAACAGGGGAGGATGGCCCTGCCCAAGATGTGGTGAGTAGACCAATTGCGCATCAGAAGAATCGTCGTAACGGCTCAGCCTCCCTAGCCCAAATGTTAGCCCCAAGGGTATTGAGATTCTCAGGTTTGAAATCTAATCCTCTTAAGCTGAAAAATGGGAAGACCAGGTAGGCAAAAGACAAAAGAACTAAGGAGCTGTGGAATTATGGCCCCTTACAAAAGCTACCTGGAATCAAGCATAATAAGGAGCAGAGGCCTATGGCGACGTCTCCTTCTCAGACACATGCTTTAAATGTGATGGATCGGTCGACTATTGGAAGGATCGACGATGATTTCGCGGAACAATGGCAAGAGGTATTTTCGGAGGCTTTCTGCGGAGGGGACGCTTCCCCTTTGGTGGATAATATTTAGTCTTCTTTGCTGGAACTGTAGAGGTGCCCGTAAGAAGGAGACAGGTAATTTCTTACAGCACCTGGTCTGGGAACGGGGAGTCAGCTTCATTGGCTTGTTCGAGACTAAGATGGAAACTTTTTCCAGACGGGACATCGATAGACTGGTTGGAAGGAGCTGGGATTTTTGGTACCAACCTTCGGTGGGTAGAGCAGGGGGCATACTTGTTATGTGGAAGGTCTCAGTTGGCTCTTTCAAGATGATCTTCCAATCTGATCAATGAATCATGGGGACCCTTACTATTTCGAACACGGTTGTGTGGGAAATTGCTATGGTCTATGCGGACAATGATAGGTATGTCCGGAGACAGCTCTGGGATGACATCTCTTGCCACCATAATGCGGAAGTTCCGATTGTGGTTGGGGGGATTTTAACTGCATTCTGGCGGCTGGAGAAAAGAAGGGTGGTAGGCCATTCAACTATTCTCAAGCAGCGTGTGATATGGGCGATTTCATGGCTGCAAATGACCTGGTGGATCCGGGCTTCTCTGGCCCGGCCTACACTTGGTCTAACAATAAGGATGCGAAGAGCCGGATTTTTTGTCGGCTGGATAGGTTTTTAGTCAGCTCGGCTTTGCTGGACAATTATCAGGGGCTGAAGGTGCTTCACTTAACAAGGATTGCGTCGGATCATTGCCCCATTCTCTGCTCTATGATGGAGGGTTGTAAAAGGAATTATACGCATTGGATTAAGTTTGAGGATGTGTGGGCTACATTTCCGAGAGCTTGGCAAATTGTTTCGAAGAAATGGAAGGTGCAGGATATGGGATCGGAGGCGATCAAGCTACAAAAGAAATGTAAACGATCCTTAAGGGCTCTTTTCTTCTGGAGCAGGAACAAAATCAAGATGTTAAAACAGTTGAAGGATGACCTTGATAGGGAGATTGCTATTCTCCAGGAGATTGAATGCTCTCCATCTGGGCTATCTGAGACCCAAACCGAAACATTGAGATTTAGGGTGCAGTTATTAAAGGCTATGCTGGCTAGAATTTCGTTGTGGTGGGGGCAACGTGCGAAGGTGCGGTGGGTTGAGGAGGGGGATGGGAACACCCGGTTCTTTCATTCCATGGCTTCCGCAAGGTGGCGATCCAACCAAATTGAGCAGCTGAACCTTCCGAGTCGGGCGACTGCAACAGAGTAGGCAAATATCTTGCAAGGGATTTATGATTTCTTTGCTCAAAAATGGAACAACACTCCTATTATTGAGACAGGATGGCCTTCTCTGGAGTCCCGGTGGGTGAACATGGAGCAGTTCGCTGAGCACCTGGAGCGGGACATAACACTGGACGAAATTTGGCTTGCTGTTAAGTCCATGGGGCCAAATCGTGCGCCAGGAAGGGATGGTGTGACGACGTCATTCCTTAAAGCTTTCTGGGATATTGTGGGTGAGCAAGTTGCTGCGGCGTGCCTAGAATTTTTCTCGACTGGGCACATGGAGCCGTCTTGGAAGGAGACGGTTGTTGTCCTTCTGCCGAAGGTTGACAAGCCTACACACCCTTCAAAATTCTGACCTATCAGCTTATGCCAAACTATCTATAAGATTATTGCGAAGATACTTGTCTCCCGGATCAAAGGCCTTTTACCCAACCTTGTATATGAGGAGCAAGCGGCATTTGTTCATGGTCGTTCGATCTCCGATCACTGCCTTCTGGGGCAGGAAATTGTGAACAAGTTTAAGGTGTCCAAATCGACCAAGGGCTGGATGGCTATGAATGTGGATATGGAGCAGACCTATGACAAAATGAATTGGAGAACTCTGGAGCTGGTGCTATTGAAGATGGGCTTCCCCTTGAAGTTTCGTACATGGGTGCTGAATTGTGTCACCACGCCTCGCTTTTCTATTCTAGTTAATGGGACACTTTCGAAGGGGATTATGGCTAGCTGTGGGTTCCGGCAGGGGTGCCCGCTCTCGTCGTATCTATTTATTCTTTGCTCGGAACTTCTCTCATTGCATTTCCACCAAAACTACCAGCAGCTGGGGGTTCAAATCCGGCCTGGGGGAGCTCTTGTATCCCACCTCCTTTATGCTGATGATGTTTTATTTTTTGCAGGTGTGAAAGCTGCCAATGTTTCAACACCAAGGAGGCTAGGGGGTCTTGGTTTTCATGCTAATGCTAATTAGGTTGGACCTCTTAGAGCTCATATTGCATGGGAATACATCAGTAAACCGTATTCTTTGTTTCATAGATGTATGGAACAGAAGTATGGTAAGTGGCCTTGGGTTGGAAATTTTAAACGTGGGGATTCGACTGTTTGGAAGTAAATTTGTCATGGGGCAAATTGTCTTGGCAGCTGTGTTAGATGGAAGGTGTGTAATGGGAGGAGTATTGAGATTCTAGAGCACATTTGGATATGGGATAAAGCTTTAGTTGCTTGGCCAACTTTCTGTGACGTAACAACCATTGAAGACCGATTGGTCTCTGATTTTATTACGGTGGACAGTGAATGGAATGAGCAAAAATTGAGACTCTGTTTTGGTTAGAGTCTTGTTGATATAATCCAGGAGATCAAAATCTGTAATGATTTGGGTGAGGACACGTTGGAGCTAATGAAGTGTCCTATTGGTTCTACTATCTCTGCCTTGGTTTATAATAGCAGATTTCAAGTGGAGGAAGACCCAAGCTGGGGTATTCTAAAATCTGGGTGGAGGCCGAGGGAAATAATGTTCTGGTGGAGGATTTACAAAAATCTTATTCCAACCAACTGTTGGCTTCAAGCGAGGGGTTTTGAAGTGGATGTTCAGTGCCCAATTGGATGCCGTATGGATGAAGATTTAAATCAAGTTTCAACTGGTTATAAACAGCTATTAGATATTCTGGATGTATTGAATGGTTGGGGGTTCTACATCCCGCGGTTAACTGGTCTTCTTGAGCTGCAGGAGGCATTGAAGAAGGATGTGAATGTTAGAGATATTGGATTACATCTTTACTATCTTTCTGTTTATTATAGTTGGTTAAACATAAATGTTATTAAACATGGGAAGGATAGATCAACACCTGTTTTTATGGCAGCAAGTTTGGTGGAGTGCATCAACCAGAGTGGTCTTTCTTTCAACTTGGAGCAACGGGATACTTCTCAATCCTCTGGATTGTGTTCACCCTCTCATTGCACCTCCTTCCTCAGTGCTTCCCCCCCCCCCCCCTACATGTTGGTTGAACATTAATGTGGATGGAGCCTTGCTTAAATCTAATGCTGGAGGAATAGGTGTGGTGATTCAGGATAGCTATGGTAATTTGATATCTGTTGCTGGTTGGAATATTTGCCATTGGGATTCTACATAGGTTGAGATTATGGCTATTCAATTCATTGGGAAGATGATTAGAGATTGGATGACAGAATTGCAAGGGATTATGGTGGAAGGGGATAATGCTAGTGTAATTAAGTTTATGCAGAAATTCAAGTATAAGGAAAGTTGGAGACAGCAATCAGCGGAGTGGGAAAAATGGAGCTGGTTGATGTTGTTTCAAAAGGTGGTTTTTATGCATACATACAAGATATTTAAAAAGGCAGCACATTACTGTGCTCAAAGAGCACTTGATAGTTCTTTTATATAGGATGTTGGAGATTGTAATAATGGGATTCCACAAGAATTATTTGATATTCTTGAGGATGATGGTAGTAGTTTTTCTTCTTTTGTTTAAGGGGTTCTTAGCCCTAGTTAGTTACTTTTTGTAATAGCTTTTTGAGGAATGCAAATGCAGAAATTCGGCTCTCTTGCTCTCTCCTTTATTTTCTCTTGCTCTTTCTTGTTCTTTCTCTAGCTTGCTCTCACTTTCTCTCTCTCTCTCTCACTTACTCCCTCTCTCTCCCTCTCTCTCTCTCTCTCACTCACTCTCTCTCCCTCTCTCTCTCTCTCCCCCTCTCTCTCTCTTGCTCCCTTCCTTGCTCCCTCTTGCTCTTTCTCTAACTTTCACATTCTCTAGCTTTCTCTTTCTCTAGCTTACTATCACTTGCTCTCTCTCTCTAGCTCTCTCTCTCCCCCTCTCCCGCTCTCTTTCCCTCTCTCTCTTTCTCTCTCTCTCCCTCTCTGTCTCTCTCTTTCTTGCTCTCTCTCTCTCTCTCACTCACTCCCTCTCTCTCTCTCTCTCACCCTCTCTCTGTCTCTCTCTCTCACCCTCTCTCTCTCTTGCTCTCTCATGTTCTTTTCTAGCTTGCTCTCACTTTCTCTCTCTCTCTCACTCTCTCTCTATCTGTCTCTCTATCTCTTACTCTCTCTATCTATCTCTCTCTCATTCTCCCTCTCTCTCCCTTGCTCTCTCCCTTGCTCTCTCTCTCTCTCTATCTCTCTCTTACTCTCTCTCTCTCGCTCTCTCTTTCTCTCTCTATCTCTCTCTCTCTTTCTCTCACTCTCTCTCCCTCTCTCTCCCTTGCTCTCTCTTGCTCTCTCTTGTTCTTTCTCTAGCTTGCTCTCACTTGCTCCCTCTCTCTCTCACTCTCTCTCTCTCCCTCTCTCTTTCTCTTACACTCCCTTGCTCTTTCTTGCTCTCTCTCTCTCTCTCTCTCTCTCTCTCTCTCTCTCTCTCTCTCTCTCTCTCTCCCTCTCCCTCTCTCTCTTCCTCTCTCCCTTGGTCTCTCTTGCTTTCTCTTGTTCTTTCTCTAGCTTACTCTTTTTCTTACTTGATCTCACTTGCTCTCTCTCTCTCTCTCTCTCTCTCTCTCTCTCTCTCTCTCTCTCTCTCTTTCTCTCCCAGGGATTCTCTATCCGCCTCTGGAGATGTTTGATGATGGCGATCGGCCCAGATGTTGTTGGATGGAGCAATGAGGTGTTAAACAAGGAGGGGGGTGAGGGGTAGCCGGACCAGGATATGGAGGTTGCTGGTGATGTTTGTAGGGGTGGTCATGATGTTGGGGAGACCTCCCCTGAGGTTCTAATGGCGCCTAACCGCCTGCTAGATGTTTGTGAAAATGCCGATTCGGGTAAATCCAGTGTCTACTGTGAGGAGCAGAGGAGTAGGGAACCATATGGTTGACCTATTTTCCTGAGGCGGATGGAGAATCCCTGGATGTGGCCAGAGCACATCCCAATTCTGCGACCAGAAGAAATCAATGCTCTTGCTATGGACGTCCGTCGACCTCAACTTGGAGCGCGTTAAGGCTAACTTGGCCAAGCTCAAGCTTGTCGTTGTTGGGAAAATCCTCGGTAAGAAAGGTTCATTTTTCTTGCTGAAATAGGAGGTTCAGAGGTAGTGGGGGGGATTCGGCGAGTTCCCGCTAACGACTATGGGGTCTGATTGCTTTATTTGCTTATTCTCTTCTACTGAATACTGTGATGCGGTCCTATGCGGGGGGCCATGGTTCATTGGAGGGAACTTGATTGGTCTGGATAAGTGGACACCAGGTTTTTCTCCGGCCTCAATGGAAGGGCTATCTTCCCCGGTGTGGGTTCGCTTGCCCAACCTCCTGCTGCAATATTGGGACGAGTGTAATATTTCCATAATTGCTTCGCGCATTGGAACGTCTCTCTGGATTGATGCCCAAACAGGAAATTGGGGGAGGCGTGAATACGCAAGGGTCTGTGTCAGGATGAACTTGGCCAAACAACTTTTGCCGGGTATATGAATCAATGGCTTGAATGGGTGGTTCTACCAAAAAGTGGAGTATGAAGGTATTGGTCTTCTATGTTATGGGTGCGGGCGTGTTGGGCACCGGCGCGACGTTTGCCCGTCCATAATTCCGGTTCAAGGTAGCCATGGTAATTTGTGTCCGGAGGAGCGCACCAGTTCAAAGAAGGGGGATGACGGTGGGATAACCGGTAAGGTCACAGCCAATTTGGCTCGTCCTAACCTGGAACAAAATGTTAGGGATATGCCAGAAGATCTGCTCAATCCTCGCCCTGACCCCGATGGTTTGACTACAGCTGGGGAGAACAATCATGAGGCTGGGGAGGATCTGCTAAGGCCTTGCATCCAAGTCCCCCCTCGCCGCCGTAAAAATGTTACTCCGCAACTGTGGAGCAATGGGAGTAAGGTCCCTAAGCCTTTGGGGAAGCCTCCTAAACAGGTTGATCTGAGTAAAATCAAGGCCCCGCCCAATTTTACTGAGACTTCGGCGCTAAAGACAAGGCTGGGGGACAATTGACCTATGTTGTTTGATACGGGTGGAGGAGCTGTGGTGCCTATGGCCAACGATTTCAATGCTAGG